AAAAATATCAAAAACATATTTTACATGAAAAACATTGACCAAAATACCCTCAAAATATTAACATGTCAATTTATTTCATGTAAAATGTTTTTTTGCTATTTTTTTTTGTAGATTTGCCTATTTTTAATGAACACACGCTTCAAATTTCAGATCATTCGGATTTGTAGAAAAAAAAATGAAAAATAAAACACTACCGGACAATCGTGACCATGCGATGAACTTTGGACGGTAATGAAAGCAGGGGAAATCATTGTTCATTTTTACCTATAGACGTTTTATAGTATCTTCCATGAGAGTAGACGAAATCACTATTCATTTTCGCCTATAGGCGTTTTGATATATCTTCCATATATATATATATATATATATTATCGTTGCCAACAATGGGCGGTTATAAGATTACCCTTGAGTTGTAAAAGTTACACAAATATGTCTAGCATGCCCATCATTTTTGCAAATTGCTTGTCTTCTCCTCCCATGGTAGTTTATTTCTTCATGTACAAGGCTGCCCTTGTGTTCAACTAGATGGTGATTGGAGTAATTCGAGTATAGAGATGTTTCGAGTCGATCCATGTTGTACAACTATGACTACCTGGTGTATTTTATATTTGCTACATTGATTCAAACAAGTTGCCTTTATTAAAAAAGCCCAAATTTAATTTTTCTAATCAACTATTAATTGTTGAATATAAAATAAATATGTAATTACAATCTCAAACAAGAAAAAAAAGCACTCAATAAATATTTTATTATTTTTTGAATTTTTTAAGGGACTCTAGACGTTGTCATTGTAAAAGCCCTTTTAAACTAAGGGTGCGGTTTGTATAGAGCCTAGGCTCTAAATACTCAAATTAGAGCCTACCTTCAAATGGTATCGTGAAATGTGGTTTTGATATTGGAAAACTTTGTGATAGCCTTGAAATATATTTTTATATTTATTTATAAAATTTAAAGGTTAAAAAATAGTGTAGATAGACAGATCTATAAAAACTTGAAAATTGATAGTCCAAAAATGTGTTACAAAATACACTATTTCTAAAACTTGAAATCTATTTTTTTTCTCATGTCCATGCTTCTTGATGTCGAGATGATCAATTTGAAGATATTTGAACAAAACAACCTCTTCTAGTGAATTTTTTGAGATAGGCTCAAATTTGACTGTCTAGAGCCTCGGTTCTATATAAACCTTTCCCTTAAACTAATAACCCATATGATGTAATAATAATAATAATAATAATAAAAAAAAGGCACAAAAAATATTAAACTTTTTTTTATATCTATCTTTTTTTTTCTTTTTCTTTCTTAAGTTCCAGGAGTGGCAAGGATAAAATGGTCTCTTTCTCTGGTATTGCAAGGATAAGCAGGATGATAAGAGATTCCAATGGCTTGCCAAGCGCATATTTTATAATCCAGCTGAGATGTCCTGCAATGCAAAGCCTTTATTGCAAAGTGCAACTAAAGGAAAGCCTCGTGGGACTGTGATTACATGAGGAGTTTCCAGTAAGTATTTATATAAGTTGTCGACCTTAAACTACACAAGTACAACAAACATTAAGAAGCCACCTAAAAAGGTTGTTTGGATGTCCGCAAATCTTATAATGGAGTGGATTCGAATCCTAAAATAATACATGCTATAACACATTATCTAGATCACACATCATCTGGATCCTCTGTTTTCAAGACTTTTAAGTGCATATAAATTTGTTTAATCTACATCATATTTTAAAATTTATAATTAGGGGTCAAAATAAATTTTTTGGCCATGGTTTCCGGCATCAAAACAACCTTCTAGATTGGATTTTTTAGACACACCTAATTTCTATAGGATAAGATAAACACTTTATACAAACCACACTCATCAAGTAATACTATCAATGGAGTGAAGGTCACAAATGCATTTCCTAAAGATCAATCCCTATTTTTGACTTAGAAATGGGCTCAAGATTAAGTGTTCAAGGTTTTGACTTGGAAATGGGCTCAAGATTAAATGTTTAAAGTGGTCGGACACCACAATATCACGTCTTGAATTCCATTCCTACCATGAACATGAAATCCTTTTCCCGTTAAACTACCCAAAAAAACAAAAATTGCCATTTTTATCAAATTAGAGACAATTTGTAAACAGGAAATTTTTTTTTTGGTGAGTCATTGTGTAGAGGTCCCCTACCCTAGTTAGGAGTTAAGCCTAAGTCGTAGCCTTGCAATTTGTCAAGGTCTAACCAAATAAGCCCAGGCTCTTTCACATATGCCCTCACAAAACATGGATCTAACCTTACAATTTTTGTGGTAAGTAGAAAATTGATACATGTACAATTACAAAAGCGAATTTGTAAATCTTTGGATGAAGTAACGAAATCGACACAAGCTAACTTTCAAAAAATAAAAAAACAGAGAAAAAAAAGAATGGTGTTGTAACAAAGATATTAGACTTCAAAAACCAGCATTTCAGAATGACCCATAATGATATGGGTAAGAACAGAGTGCCAAACACACTTACTGGTTACATTTCAGACAAGCATTAAAATAAATATTTACAGAGCTCTCATGCATGGGAACATTACGTGAAAGGGAAAGCCATATATTGGGGTCCAATAAATACAGTAGAATGATGTGCAGCAAAAGCATACACCAGTTCTGCAAATGCCTATGTGCTGTAACCCTGAGAAACAGAACTTCATGAGGTGGTGGGAATCCTGGTGCAAGCTTCTGCCGAGGCCTCAGCCATCACTTCCTTGCTGATTCCTGCATTGCATATGTTTGCCATGGAGCGCATGTGTTTCATGCCATACTGAGAGATAGACCCACACTTGGTTTCAAATGTGCGTACCTGCATGAGACAGAAGGGGGAAATTCAGACATTCATGCAGATAATGCATCTAAAAGTATCATCTCGTTCAATGTACATGGACAGAGAGTAGTTACTACATATCATAATCGTCTCTCTCACACATGTGCACACAAACAGAGAGAAATTTACTCTATTGTTCATGTGCAAGTTTTCATCCGGAAAAGAGAGGGACCAGTTACATTTTGTTTAGAAGCTAGTGAAAAAACGAGACCCCCCAGGGAGGGCAGCGATTATACGACCCATACCATTGCCTTAAGGCAGTCCCAGTCATCAACTAATGGGAGGCCCGTGGTGCGCACAGTCTTGAGGATCTCAGGTCCTTTCTCAGAACCAAAGAGAAGTTTCCCAATGAGCTCAATGCTATTATCCAGGTGCAGCCGATGAGCCATCACATCAAACAACTCCTTCTGAGCATTCCGTTTCTTAATAGAGCCAACTGGAGATTTCCGATACTAGCCAGCAAAAGGAGATGTCAATTTTAAGAAAAACATGAAAGAAATATAATATAAGATATTCTGGAACACACACACACGCAGAGAGAGAGAGAGAGAGAGAGAGAGAGAGAGAGAGAGAGAGCAGTTCTGAATGGCCAAACAATTATGGTATCACGAGCAACCAATATTACTATGCATGGAACATGCTTTTTAAATGCGTCAGACCGAAATTCCTGCAGCAATAATATTCGAAGTTTCATGAACTCAGTTAAAGGCAAGGTGAGTGATGTTCTTTTTCTCACAATTGTTGGTAATGTAAGTTGCTAGCATTCCCAACCTAGAACTACCACAAGCATAAGGGAAGAACTACTACAAAGCTTTAGCATCTTGAATAGGTTTGAAGATGAGTGAAAGCATCCACCAAACTACCCTTTTGCCTTCTCACGATACAGAATCCCCAGGAGAAGCATCTAAAAAATGTAACTTGATCATTCTATCTTCCAAAGAAAGGGGAAAAGATTTATCCTCCCACTTGGCAACATGTTGAGGATAAGAAAAAAGAAAAGACCGAAATTGGGTGTGATAAACACTGAAAATACATGACTGAAAAACAGGTAAAAGGTAATCCAATTGTTTAATGGCAGCGAAAATTTAAGATAAAAAGAAATTTTTTTAACAAACCTTGTTCCAGAAATAAACAAGATCAGCATCTCTTTGATTAACAGCTTTGGAGAATGAAGGCAACTCATTGCGAGAGATGAAGGTGGAATTATCATTTGCAGGGTTGCTGCCCATGTATAAGACGAGTTGTTCTTTGCCAAGCCCAGAATCCCCATATTGCATGACATGGGAACCAAACATATATGTCTCAAAGTTTGAAGTCCGCATCTTAACCTGCAACCAGTGAAATAATAGGCACGGTCACTCTTTGTTTGCCTTTCATTTATGAATAAGAAAACAGTTCCCAAAGAATTAACTGAAAAGCAATGAAATGTAATTAAAAGCATGGTGCGACATTGAAATAGTGAATTGCGTACCAGCTCATATTGCTGCTTCAGGGTTTCGAACTGCAAGTTATGTATGTCACTGCCAAGAGAATCGAAGTATATCAAGCATCACAAAATAACACACAATTTTCTTTCTTAGGCGAACTAGAGAAAGCAATAAGCTAGGGAGCAGTTTGAAAAAAGCTTGCAATGCAACCCCAATAATAATAATAATAATAATAATAAGGTGGTGACAAGAACAGTCGATAGCAAGGAATACAAGAACAAATTTCAGACATATAGATCATCATTCTAAGTAATTTATAAACCTCAGCATATTCCTGAGAGACTACATTCTTTTCAATGAATTTTCCTGAGTATTTTTAACAAAACAGAAAAGAAATTGTCATAAAAATAAACAGCCACTTCATCCTATTGGGCATCATATTCATAAAACTTCCTTTATTAGGCAAAAGAAAAGAGAAATGAACCTCTAAGAAGCATCAAAGAGCATGGAAGCTACACTTAGGAGACAGGCTGTATTCTATAGTACTTGTTTTTTGTTTATCTGTTTTATGTTGATCCTTTTTTTTGTGTGTGTGTGTGGGGGCTGTGAGTAAGTTTTTTAATTGATTTCTAACGATTTTTATAGAAGTTGCATGCATAATAAAACAAGAGATTGTCTACAAAGCGACCATTTATCTTTTGTACATGGAGGTCACAATCATTCTCACTCATTAGATGTCAAATTGGATGGCTAGAGGTGAGTCACAAAGTCTGAGAAAGTTTTTTTTTGTAAATTTGTGTTTATCCAATGACACTCTTACAACCACCAATTTTGAAATTTAAGGGATAAATGGTCTCTTTATAGACAATCCCAAAAGAAAACAACAAGTTTTATTTATGTGAACAGCAATACTTGGTCCTGAGGTTCAAGTGTTTACAGCAATGCTTCCAAGGATGTAAGTTTGGAATGAACTTTGACTGTAAAGACTACTGGAAACATTCTATACCTATTACAAAACAGAACGTCACAGTTTCTGGTGAGCTTTGAAAATTTCCAGAAGTTGTGTACGGTCCAAAAAAGTTGAGTATCACTCAATAGATCAATAGAAGTTATTCTAATCCGCAGAGGTTCATCACAAATAAGGTGTTAATCAAAGGTTATTCCAACATATCTATAGAAGAGTCACACATCCTAGGAAATGTGTTTCACAAACAAATACAAAGAGGGGACAATGCTGCATGGCTTTACAAGCCTCGATATGACAAAAAATCAATTGCCACCCTCTCCCCTTCCCAACGGCTCTGTGCATGTGCATGTATACATATATATATATATATATATATATATATCGAGAGAGAGAGACCAGTTCTCAATTGTCCTAGGAGTCCATGACATTATGGGCAAAACGCGTAAACCACAAAAGTACGAGGGAACACAGATTACAGACCTGTCTTCCATCCAGCTTACACTGTACAAGTCTCCAAGACAGGTATCATACTCTTGAGGAAAATCAGGACTATCATCAGGACAGTAGGTTCCCCAACTGCTCTCTACGGCGTTTGAAGCTGTAGTTGCATATATGTTTAGACCTTCAGGTAAAAGACCCTCAAAGATGCTCCCAGATTCACAAGCTTCAAGATAGAACACCTAATTGAAGAAATGGTTTGAGATTTTATAGCACAAGCAATTAACACTTATTATATTGAAATTTTTAACATGACAGACCAAATGCAAAAGATTACCAAGCTTTTATAGGTACCAGACACATGCTTCTTCTTCAACACATTTACCAGATCGTCTGCGTAAAGATAAGGATATGTGGGCATCCCTGCAAGCAATACAATAAAAAACGGTGTAAATTCAAACCGCTCTTTCGCCATGCCAACATACAGATTTGTTTGTCACACTGGCATGGTTTGGGCTTCAGTTAAGCCGATCAAGCATGCATGTGTATGTGTGTGTAAGTGTACAAGTGTCAGAGAGAGAGTCATTTATCTAATATGGTACCAGTCGAGCACCCAACAAGTAATCATAAATATGTAATTCAATTAACAAGGTACCAGTCCTACCAGTCCATTACCCCTACCAGTCCATTTCCCAACAAGTAATCATAAAAGATGCATTTGTTGGTTATTAGCACTTGATGGTATGTTATGATCATTTATTTATTAGGTTCCCATACTTACAAATACACAAGAAGTAATCATTAAAGATGTATTTGTTGGTTATAAGCATTTCAATATCGGTTCTGTTAAGATCCATTTGTTACACTGCAATGACATCAGCATCAAATTTCAGCTGAAAATGCATTCAGAGAAGCATCTCTCACACTAGAGTCTATTAGGTTGTATACACAGAGTAAAATATGAAGAGTGAACTTAAGCCTAAAAGGGTATGCAATTCTCGAAGAAATACAAAAGGTGTCAACAAATTCAAGCTGAAGACCAAGTCATGTCTACTCACCAAGCACTCCAGCCCCACCATGGTCTGAATAAAAAATGAAAATATGGTCATCAGGACCGCTATCCACAACCTTCCCACTACCCCCAGTAAGAGCAGACTTATTCCCAAGGATCACAGCAAAGAGATTGTCAACATTAACATCATCTCCAACATAATCCTGCCATGCAATCAGCCAATCACAAACACAATCACATTTCATTAGTTATGACTATGAAAGCTAAAAGAATCAATCTGACATGGAACACCGCATGACCCAGGGGAAACAGAAGTCAGTCCCAGTTAAATTAGGAAAAGGTATACTATAATCACAGGACCATGGATAAATTTAACTCAGTGGGGTCATCACCATCCGATGAAATGGACAAATATGTAGAGGCACAACGACCTAGAAGAGCAGGGCTTGTAATGGTAGGTCCCACTCTATCTCATCACAATTTACTGGACAGTGATAACCCCAAGGGACTATTTTTTGCATAGTCCATTGGATTATAGTATACTTTCTCAAGAAACCAATTAAAAGCAAAGGTTCCCACCTAACACAAGCATACATACCCCACAAGAAAATGAATAAGAAATAGAAAACAAACCTTCGGAACACCAGCATAGACATCTTCACCATGAGGGCGGTTAATGATGACTCCAGGCCTAGGATTTTCCTCATTGTAAGCAATGTCATCATACATGAAGACAACGATATTCTTTTCTTTCAGTCCGCCCCTTATCATGGTTTGATAAGCATGGCAAATATCAGCCTGAAAATAAGATACCACCGTTGAAGATCCATCTGATCTTTTTAATTTACCAAAAAGAAGAAAAACACTTATCCTTTTAAACACCCAAATCCGCAGTCCTTTCCCCACCTCCACACACACCCACAACCAACACAAATCCGTCATAACCTTACTAATTCAGATGACAGAAAACTGTCACAACTATCTGGAATCAGTCAAATGAACTCTACAGAATGAATTTTTTTTTTATAACTGAACTCTACAGAATGATTAAGAGGAGACCTAAATGAAGTAAACCGGCAGCCAAGAGTATAATTCACTACCTACAGAAATTGTTCAAACTTAAGGTAACACCACAGGAAAAGGTGAAGCCGGTGGATTTTTTGTCTGATTAAATATTATAGAGAACGCATGGGTCATGCTTATTCATTGACGCGTGACAAATCAAAATTCCAATCTGAATTAAAAATACTTTTTTTCATAGTAGATTTTAACCTGTATCAGAAAGACCTATATAAACAACATCATCACATACAAAGTCAATCACGCACACCTCCAGATGCATGGGCAAAATTCAAAATAGATATTACAAATTTGTATAAATGGTAAGTCTAACTTGGGGCAAAAGGCAATGACACTCTATAAAGAGTTCCTGCATGCTACATATACCATGTATGGACACCTTCTTCCATACTTCAGCCTCTGATCATGACATTTTAAAATGTGCGACTAGATCCACAAATTCCAAATAATAACAATATTAACAAGAAACCAATGGATAAATTATGAGTTTGAGGATCTGACAATTCACGCACCTGCCTACATTTTAGCTAGGTAAAATTACAAGAGCATAAATGATGGGAATCCGAACATAACATCAATTCAAATTTTTATGCGTTACATGATACAGAAAAACAAAATAAACTGATGTATAGCAACATTTTAGAATTGCCATTTAAATCCTTTGTGCACCATATTTCACAACTTCCCACAGAAGTCAACAAAGAAAATACCTTGGTCATAAAATTTTAAGTCTATGAGTCACAAACGACAACAAGAAATATTATAACAACTCAAGATTGCAATTCTATCTTATACCCAAGGATAAAAAGAAATATTATGACAGAGGGAAATTCATCTGCAATTTCAACAATCAGGAATCACGTGAACAAAATGGAAGAAAAGGAAAAGCTCTTAATGCATTATCCTGGTTATTATTCCAAGACTCACAACCGCTATGTTACTAATGAGAACTCTTAGAAAAATCCCCCACAAGACAATCCCACAAACAAATCACGCATATGCCACTAGCCAAGAAAACAATTTTATCTTTGTTTGGGAAAGGAACAAAGACAATTATTCAGAAAAAAGAAGAAATAAGAGACAATATACCATACATACAATAGTTCCACCAACACACCAAGACTTAGTAGGGATAGTAAAAGGAAGAAAATAAAAGTTTAGTCAAAAGAAGAGGAACCCAATTATTTGCAAGTTAAAAGATTAATTATATGCAAATTAACCCTGACATCAAGTCTCCATCTAAAACCAGTAATTAGAAATAGGCAACAAAAGTAATTGACAGAAAAAAAAGAATACATGAATAAATACCTTGGATACTTCATTCATTGTAAATTAACCACAGTTTTAAGAAGCTACATCTCCTCCCAGATAATAAGAACCAGCCTTAGACATGTTATATAAGAACAAAAACGATAAAATAAAAAAAAATTCAAAAACAAAAAGAAATGACAGAAAAAGGGGCTGGTAAGTACTCAAATATCATGAGGGATATCCTCCAAAATAAACAATTTTGCTGCCTAGAGCAGTTGCAAGAGCCTCTGTACAAGTGAAACCTCATATGGGATTCAAGTGTTTTGACCCGCTTCGTAATGGACAGCAAGTCCAAGTCTTGAACCTATTTTGTTTCCTAATCAAAGCCTTAAACACCATTCTGCACACACATACAGCTACACACCACAAGATTTGTGAATGACCCTTTGAACACAGAGAGAGAGAGAGAGAGAGAGAGAGAGACAGAGAGAGAGAGAGAGAGAGAGAGAGAGACGAACGACAAAGAAATAAACAATAAGTAAATAAAAGTAATTAACGTAATTAAGTAACTAAGTAAGTAAGTAAGTAAGACGTACGTACGAACCGTAACCGTA